TAACAAAGAACAGAGTTTCACGGATTTTATTAACAGGTTTGAAACACTGTTTCCACCATTAATTCTTATTTTCTAACTCGCTGCAACCTTTATATGTTTAAGTGAAATGTTGGCTTCATGCTTACAGAATTTATTAGAATACAATACAATAAAATATGAGCAAACGTCTTTGTCTTTTCAGTGCCAAGATGACCGGAATCTAATTCATTGAGAGCAGCAGTTCGTAATTTTGGAGGTACAATAATGAGAAAATTGTAACACAAGACACCATTGCACGTCACAGAAATTTCCTCACGACGTTTGTAGAATTCCGGAAATTGACGCTTGATATCACTTCGCCAACCTCGACGAACACAGTAAATAACAGTATGATAATACTTCCTGGTGTCGCGAACTAAATCAGATCGGCTTACCGGGAGCGGTTGAGTGAGTAGACAATCACTCGCAGAAGCCTCCTCTGAAATGGCGTAGTGTGACAGATAGTCTGCACGTGGAATGGACTGCGCTCTGCGATGATGGATTTTATAGGAACAGGTAGACAACGCAACACTTCATCGTTGTACCATGGCTGCAGATGACTTTACCAGGGAATGTTGGGGATTGTAAATGAACTACAAGGCTTCATGATCACTCACAATAGTGGAATGAGTACCATAAAGATAAGCGTTACAACCCACTAGACAACTAGAGCTTCTCGTTGAGTTTGAGAATACCCACGTTCGGCAGCCGTGAGTCTGCGTGAGATGCACAGCACCGGATAACCATTCTGCTCCGAAACAGCTTCAGTTCCAACGGGCGATACGTACGTGATGACGGTAGAACGTAATCGTGGGGAAAACAGATGTAAAACAGCACTGGTAGAAAAAAGGAAAGTAACTTCCTCAAGGCACATTCATGGACCGAGGTCCGCCAGAATGTTTGCTGAGATTGCAAATCAAACAATGGGTTAGGTTGCGTGGAAAAATTGGGAATCAACTTGAAATAGTATTGTAAATAACCAATTAAAGAACGAAGTTCATGGAATGACTTGGGATATGGAGCATTAGCCAACGAAGAAGACCGATTAGAGTCAGGACAAAATTCAGATTCATCAGCCAAATAAACTAAACAAGAAAATTTAGTGGTAGCAATGGCAAATTTATCTGGATTAATAGAAACACGAGAACAAAATCATTCAAACAAAGCACATGTAAGTGTCTGCTGGACGCATGTACAATAATATCGTCCTGATAGGCACCCATCCGATTTACATTATTGTCCATGCTCGCAGAGGACATTCACATGAACGCTTGTGTTCTTTGCTTGAAAAATTTCTTTCTCATAATATTTCCATTAGTAGAAAAATATCAGGTGAGATTTTATTCAGTTTCAATGATTTCTTACCTAGGATTCCCATTTGATTTGTCCACAAAAGAGCCGGATAACGCCACAATGATTACTGGACGACTGGCCTTTGTCACTGCAGACCAAGGAGATGAGCTGACGGTTAGAAGATTGGAGATTAATTTGAAATTTTTTTTAAATGTGCATTCCGTTTTCCGTTGCGATCGACCGAGTTTTGTAGAAAACGTTTTGAAGACGGATTTTAACAGCAAATTTCTTGCTAGTAAAATACAAAGGAAGCTTCGTGTTCTATTCTATCGTACATACACTTTTAAAGTGAAGGTATTATCCTCTTATTTATGATATTTAATTAATGTTACCATTTAGATATCACAGCTGACCAAAAATGTACATAAGTAAATAACTCAATTATATGCATTTTTATAAAACTGTTGCGTGTTACTTTTAATCCGCAATGAAACCATTATGCGTTGATGGATGTGAATCTTCGTAATTGGTACTTTATTTCAGATTTATTCAATCGTAGAGTTTGCCGAAGAGTCCATCACCAATGTGCACCGAAGGTGGTTTACCTCAGAGAATAAGGTTAGATGACCCAAAGCGGGCCAATTAAACAACTAAAAAAATCTAGTGTAGGAAACTGGTGAGGACCTCCCACTGGGGGGCACGGTGCATAAAGTGCATGTGCTAAAAACAACTGGTCAGTTTCAGTTGTTAAACTGCTTCATATCGTAGATAACTATGTAAAGGTGCTTCAATATGAGGAGCGTAACCAAGATGAAACGGAGGTTCCATCATCTGATGCTACCGAACCAATGGTTTCTAAACCCAAACGTAAGTTGTGAGTGCTGTTAAATAATGCTAATAGATTGTTCACAGTGCTCCGGTAATCCTTTCAGACTTTGAGACGGATTGGCCCAACTCGAGGCCAATTCAACCCTCTTACTTGCGGACCATAGCATATTCAACTGCATCACGGGGTCCGCTTTCATCAATTCAAAACAATACACCAACCCTGAGGTACGTAAACAGCTGACAGTTGACGTATTCCCCTCAACAACAGTGCATTATTAGAGTGCGGGGCCGGAAAACAAAATTGTACACCACCGACAAGGTAAGTTTATTCATTTCAATCATTTTATATATCATTTAGATCATCAGATCTGACATCAAGTACATCGGGGTTACATCGTCAAGCCTCAAGATGAGGTATTTATTACGTATGCTCATCTAAATTTGCTCACTAATCGAGATGGTTGATTTAAATAAATCTCTTTCATCATTGCAATCTACACGAACAGATATCCAACATGAAAGGTAAGTAAAAGTAACAGTTATTTCTAAAATTAATGCAGGACACCGCACTTCGATCGCACAATACCGCCATTTCTGCAACACGAACGCGATCTTGATTTGGTCCGTAATTGAATACTATTATTTAAATTAATGAATTAAATGATTATTTTGACTTGTCTGAATTTACAGTTTAAAAGTTGGATAGATTAGAACAAACTGTCCAAAGGCAGACGCGGATCATTAACGAACTCCGCGCCCAGGTGCATGCGACGCTGCAGACGAAAAGTGTTCGGCTACCCATCGACAGCGAAGAAGACTTCGATGCGCTGTTGGACGAGATAAAAGACAAAGATATCTAAGATAAATTCGTAAGTTTCTGTGCAGTTTTGTGGCCACGCATTTGTTGAATAATGTAATTAACTGTGGATGTTACCGTTACAGGTGGATTATCTCGTCGCTAATGGGGGTGACACAATGCAGGAGGCGATACGTGAGACGCGTGTTCACTCCTCAGTTAAGTAAAAAATTGAATTGGAATGGCATCCGGGAAAACGCGCACTGTCATAATCACGTATAACAGACGCTATCATGGGTGAGTGGAAATGCTAATGAGTTTTGTAATGCTTACATCTCGTAACGAATTATTCATCAAGTGTTTCAATAATATTTACGAACTTTCTCATGTTATTTTTTTAACGTCTTAGGCAGTTATTATGATTTTCTAATGGATCTTTCACTCAGAATACGGTATACGTATTTCGATTATTAAGTTTGGAGGTGCTTCGTATTACTATTATTTTACACTTTTCCTGATTTATACTAATATTGTTTCATATTTTCATTTTGCATATGCCATTTACCGTCATCAATTCTGTGAATACGATTATCAAGAAGGTACCAGGATATTGAAGAAGGTTATTCACAAACATCGATGAAGCGCTACTCTCAATGTTGTACATTTCTTATGTTCCTGTATAATAAATTGATTTTACTACATTTGTGTGCCTTTTATATGACGGTTTATATTGGTATGGGACAGGCCTTCAGTAGTTTAACGATTAATCGATAGAAGCAAACCGGTAGGTTCAAATATAGACGTAGCAGTTAAGTGGGAGGTATGGAACGCGTCGATCATAAATGAGCAAGGTAGATATATTAGGAGTATAGTGGGGAGTGGAAAAGAAAATTAAAACACAAAAGAGGTTCGTTTCGTGGGGACGGAAAAAACGCTCAAAGTGCCTGTTGCAAATTTGCGTTGTATTCGCTAAATTATGCGCGGATAGATTAGCGAAGCAGAACGCGAAATGTTGCGCATTATATTCACGTTTTGGCTGGCAGGGCATACACACCTTGTAAGCCAGAGATTATTCAAATAATAGTATTTTGAAAAATAGCGGGGGATACACTGAGTCCAAACGGTAGAAAATTGTAGCGAAATAAACCAGAAGGTGTGTTAATAGTCGTGAGTTCACGAGACTTTTCATCAAGATGAATTTGAAGAAATGCATCTTTTAAGTCTAGATTGGAGAAAACTTCGGTTCCACAAGTTGGTGCAGAATGCCTTCTGGCTCGACGGGGGCACAACTGGACTGTTTCAGCTGTCCGTTCACAGTGACTTCATAACCCCCATATATCCTGGGAGTCTTCCCGTCACGTTTTAGTGGAGTAACAATTGGTGTGGTCCAAGCCGAAGAATTTACGAATTTCAGAACTTCCTTGCTAAGCATTGCATCTAACAACTTTTTTAAGGGATCACGAAGTCCAAACGGGATAATCCGACGTTTCATAAGCACCAGGGAACCGGTTGCTTCTAGATTCATAGGAGTCATTTTGATACCACCCTTTGACTTAGAACATTCAAGTACTAATTGACGAAGGCGTGATTGGTGAGTCAGACATGAATGAAAATGACAGATCCAAACAACAGATCCATACAATTCAAACCAAGTATAGAAACGTTGGATGCAATAACTAAAAACGGTCAGTTCGCATGATCCTAAAACGGGCACAGAATGAACGGTAATTTCCTTAACTGAAATGTCTGTTGGGGAAAGTGCAACTGGGGTTGAGGGAGGGGGGTAACTGACGAAATACCTTGTTATAAAAGAAAGAATCAACACTGCCGGTGTCCATAATGAATGTATGGCGAATGGAGTCATTAATGATGAAGTCGCAAGTAATGTGACGAGAGGGATGTGAACTGGTACTGACTAGAGTTAAGGACTTTAAATCACACAATAAATCTTTAGAGGAATGAACGGCCGTAAGTTCTGTAAGATAAGACCTCGTACTTTTACAGGCAGATTGGATATGGCCAAGCTTACCTCAATTGTGACACTTGGCATTACGAAATCTACAGGTTAACCACGAATGTCTTTAACCACACAAATTGCACTTGTTCCATCGTTGAATCCGTTGGTCATCGTGAGTTGGAGAACGGATGCTGCTTGTTGTTTTCGAGCCTTTTCAAAAAGCGGCTTTCGTCGAGATGGTGACTGTTTGGAATTACTGGCATTGAACAGCAAGTTGGGTTCATCAAAAATAATGGCACGGACGTCTTGGTACTGTTCACAGACTGCCTTAGCCGACTGAAATGTGCAATCGTGCATGAGCAGGAGCTTTTGCTGTAATTCCGGGCAGTTACCACCAGCAATTAATGGATCACGTAGCTGGATTTTTAGTTGATCTCCGAAATTGCAACGAGAAGCTTGAGTCTGAAGCTGAAGAATAAAGTCACGTACAGGTTGGCTTCCACCACGTGTGAATGAATAAAATTTGGCTCGTTCGGCGGTTTCGAAATTATCCGGCTGTAGATGTTTCAGCAGCAAGGTTTTCAGGCATTTATACGACAACGACATAGGAGATTCAGAAAATGCCAAATTCTTCAACAATGAGTATGCATCCTTTCCGATGACCGTTAGGAAATACGCCGTTTTGAGCTCTCCATTGAGTCCTTTGCGAGTAATACATCAAATCTTGAATCGTTCAAGATAGTTTCCGACATGCGCACTGGCATGTATATTCAACTTCTCCAAATTACAGGACTCCATTGGTTCAAAATCACCGCGACGCCAGTTGTTGTGGTTCGCACTCGGACTAGTAATGCGTATACGTATCGGATTCCGCGCAGTAATAGTCCAACCCAGAACTAGGACTCGAAATGAAATCAGAAGACAGAACTCAACGACGGAATAGAACTGTAATAAGCGGAAATTCGGAATGTACAAGGATATCGTGTTCAATAAAACAAAAGAGTTCATTAGTCATGAGCAATCACCACAGAGTTATTTGATTAAATTATTTATCAAAAGTAGTCTTAAGCCCACGGAGGTTATGAATAATGCATTTTAGAGCTTCATTATTGTTTAACAACAAATTTAGCTCATAAGTAGCTCTTTGCTGCCGATCGATGCGCTACGTTTTGCCACATGGAGTATTCCCTAGTGGAAAATATAGCGTTCCCAAATGTTCCTGCCGAATTGCCGTTTGAGAAGTCAAAATCCATATTGCTGGACCAACTTCTTCCAGTGGATTTTGAAGCCACGGAATGGGCCAAATTCAACTCAAGAATCATATCTGCCAACATGCCGTGCAGTGAATTCATCCTCCAGTTAAATAAACAGGCATCAAAATGGAACTGCGGTTTCTCCAAGTCTTGAAGTGACTCGCGGGTGCGAGGCTGGTGCCCAATGGTCCCGAATCGAATAAAAGAACAGCTTTGTGATCGTCTGATTGCTGTAATCAAAAACATCTTATTACAGCGTATGACGTTGGAAAAGGAACAAGTCACGTTTGTTGAGGCTCGAAAAATCCATGGGTAAAGTGATGATTCATGTGCTGCCACAAACCCTGCCAACAAAAGTGCTCCTAGAATGCCACTCCAGTGCACCCAAAGTACGAAAATGATAAGTTGTTTGCACTTTTACCGGGACCCAACGAGTGTCCCTTTATAACGGTGATACTTTAAACCCTTAACAACCGAACCCCAGTGTTAAAAAATCAACTAATCCAGCCTGATATGACGCGCATAATACCCCCCCATCCTCTCCCACTTACTCCCACTGTGTCCCATGTCTCCTTGATCCCTACTAAAAATAGAAGCTATAGTATTTTTCTAACCTAACCCAGCGTATAATTCTACACAACAATTGTCATCACTTGGTTCAAATGTGGTTTGCGGACCTAAAAGTAAATAGGATTATGCACAATTTACCTTAATAATCATGGGATTGTTGGTTTTCGTTGTCTGTCTCCTGCATTGGCACCTCAGGTTGCAGTTGTGGACATTCCATTGAGAAGTAACTTTGCAACTGTCGATAAATGGTCCGTCTACTTGTTCCACGAGGTAGTTTAATAAACTTATGATCAGATTTGTGCATATTGATAATGTTTACGAATAAGTACGACGATTAACACACAATGGAGATAGATTAGAAATAAACAGCAGACAACCATAACACGAAGCACAACCGAACAGTAAAATGATTAAGGTGTCCAGCCACTGAAACCACTAGTAATCAATTGAAACAAGCAGTCACTTCGAAAGAATAACCTGTAGATAAATATGACAAGTATTGACTGGAATGCATTTGTGTTTTTTTCTAATGCTATAAACGCACACTTGGGCTCATCTGGGTCTTATTTGGAAAGTGCGAATACCGGAGCGAACTGGGAGCACAAAGTACGACTCTGTGTTAGGAGGGAATGCGGATATTCCTGTGTTATTCCACTGGCAATCAACAATAACCATCACGCGATGCACCCAGTGTTCATAATGCATCCCCGGTTCCTCAAGTACCCAGTTCAAACCAAAAACAACCGAAGGCTGCGACAAACCGCTGGTTTTCATGTGGTGAATATCGTTTTCGTTCGACTTGTCGGTTCCGTAATGCCACTTGCCATGCATACGGTAAGATAGGTCATATCTGCAAGGTGTGCGGAATGCCTAAGTGCAAGCTCGTGGATTTGTTTATCCCAACTGCAGATGAAAATCCAAGCCCAATCTACACGCTGTAAACCACTGAACGCAACAGCCAGTTCATGTTCACCCCACTGATTTTTGATTCTGGTGTGGAACATTGATTCATCATGGACACAGGAAGCAGCGAAATCAGCACTCACTGGTATTTTTCTCCATGCTGTTCTAGCCCCGACGTCAGTGCTCATTCACGGGGCTACCGGTGATCAATTGCAATTACCAGGTGAAACGAAGCTGTGCTTTCAATCTGGGTCAAGTGTGTAATTCCCGATCCGATTCCTGGTATTAGCCCACAGTCCGTCAATTCGGGGTCTGCGAACAATGCGGCTACTACATGAGTCAATCACACTACATACGAACAACGATAAGCCAATCACGAGGTCAGTGTCACACATCACACTCGCCGCACTTTGAATTGACCACAGGATTTCTGTAATCCAGTCTGGGCTTTGCACTCAGTCGTTTGGGCCATCGTAGGACTTGCTCATTCACACGTAATTCTTCCGTAGCGGCTTGTTGTTCAACATTCTGTTCATCAGTCGCATCAGGTTGCTCAGTATCAAAAGAAACATTATCAGACTCTAAATTTCCATCATGAATTGGAACTGACTGACTTGGATTGTCAAAGTGAATTTGGTCTACATGTCTTTTGTGTATAGACAAATCATCCTTGTCAAGCAGCTGGAGCATTCTTCGACCTGGAGACTTTAGGACAATTCCTGAGGAGAATCTTACGTTAGTTCAGTTCAGTTAAGTTCAGTGCAGTTTGCACAGGACAGAAAATGGCCACGGCCNTTGTAGCAGAGAGCAAGTTAAAATTCAAACCGCGCGCGGGGTACGTACCGTGCGATAATTCAGTTCAGTTCAGTTTTCACAGGACGATATGTAGCCCGGGCCAATCTTGCGTGGAGATTGATGTGTTGTTGGCTGCTCTTGTGGCTTCCGACACTGCGAGTCAATTGTTTTTTCTGAAAGGCAGAAAGTAAGGTCAGGTTAGGTCAGGTCTTAAAGTCTTGAAGTGACTCTCGGATTCGAGGCTGGCGCCCAATGGTCCCGGATCCCGGTCAGTCCAGTCCAGTCCAGTTCAGTTCAGTTCAGTTTGCACAGGACAGAAAGTGACCACGGCTAATCGAGCGTCCAGAATTCCTTCGGTG